AAAAGGACAGCAATCTCCCCCACCCTTCAAACTGGGTCGGTTTGCAGAAACAGAAACCCGAAAAAGAACCGCCCGCAAATGCAGACCCAAAAACTAAATGTCTACTGATAAATCAAGACCAAGGTTTTTTTTCCTATTCCATTTTTTCTCGGTAGGCACCGAAAAGCCCGGTTTCCGGAAAATCTCGGAATTATTGGATTTTTTTCGCCCGGATTTTCAAATGAATTCGGAATTTTGAATTTTGTTGCTTCAATATATATACAATTTTAAGCCTTAATTAACAGAACGATGTGCCTGTTCTAGTCGTCAGCGCGTTTGTCCGTAATTGGTGGGCTTGCGGGTTCGAGCTCGCATCCCACGCTGACCTATAATTTTTTGTAAACGGCAAAAAACATATTAAAAAGTCGGCTGCCAAACCTGGGATTACAACCTGCGACCAGTCAATGCTTACAGCCTGCGCATTACCACCACGCAAAGAGATGCGTTCTGCCTGGTTAGCCATACAGGTTCTAGTTGACCTAATCTAGACGTTTAAATTCAAAATTTGCGTTCGGTATTCCTTTTTTCAGCGGGTAGCGGAAGCGCCGGCTTCCGAAAATACTGGCCGAGAAAAAAAAAATCCTGCTCAGGACACGCAAGATGAGATTCAGGCTGATAATCAGATGGCTACAAAATTCGATTGTGCACCAAATTTAAAAAAAGCAAGCTGTTTTATATAGGGAAAATCATTGTATGTTCCAAATTGACAGGCATATACTGTAATCAGATACTATGGGCAAATGGATGCAAAGTTTCTTTTTTCCTGCTGGGGAAACGGGTGTGAGTTTCGGGAGCCAATGGTAGCAGACAGATCAAATGGGCCAATGGCTGCAACGGTTAGCTTGGTTTCTGTCCACGGCTTTATGCCTGGGCGCAACTGCTGCCTGGTGTGGAGTTGAACCTTGGATAATTATTGTGTCGTCAGGCAGCCTAGGCTATTTCAAGCCACACCAGTCAAGGCTTTGTGACGATAGCAACCAAGGGAGCCTTTTGGTTATCCTGCAAGCCCTTGCTTAGCCTGGCCTAGCAAGGGACCGATGGATTTGGTTACCAGCGATTTCCATCTTTTTCTTCTATCGAGCGAGCGAGCCAAATCGGCCAGTCTTTGTCGGCAAGGCTAGCCTTGCCTAGCAAGGGATCAAAACACACCCCAAATGACTTCAACCATTTTTCTGGCGAGCTCCAGTCCAGCCTGGACATCACCAGGACATGAACCGAACTAATCTTTCTTTCTCCTACTAGAAAAACCCTTTCTCAAAAGAAAAAGTAGAAAAAACCCTGAATTTTTTCTCGCACATTCTTGCTTCATCATGATCCATGCAAAATCAAGCCCTGGGGAAACACTGCTGAAAGTTTGACAACACATAGGTTACAGGCTTGTTTTCTACAGACTAACCTGAGGTGAGGGGAGCAGCATTGCGGTCCAGGACTCATGTCCAAGGTCCAAGCGTGGACTGATGACACCACACTAGTTCAATCTTCCAGTCAGCTTCACAACTGTCATACCAGACCTGTGATCATCGACATACTCAAATTCACCAATTAACATACCTTGCACTTCAGCGCCAAAAAATAAAACGTACCTTGCACTTCAGCGCAAAAAAATAAAACGTACCTTGCACTTAGAAAAAGCATCATCAATTTCTATGGACACAAGTGCAGCATAGTTTTACAACTTTCTATCCAGTAGCGTTGTGCATGAAGAACCATAAAAGACATACACAATGAGGAACATAATGACCACCCTCCACGACGGCCTGCTCATCACTTTCTCTTGCCACACTTCTCAACACTGTACATGCGCGTAATAGCATCTCACCATTTTTGCTGCAAAGCGTGATAAACGACATAGGACTGCATGAACATCTTGAAATGCCTTACACCACAAAAAGGGCCTATCAATCCAGAGAATCAATGGATGAATACTAGGCACATGCATAAATATTGTAGATGTCTATATTTTTCCATATAAACTTAAACAGGTTTGACTTAAGACAAGATTAGGTGAGTACTTCATTCGTATAATATACTAATGGGAACATTGGCTTCACAAACAAGAAAAAAAAAACAGATTGTTCAATACTGTTGATAGCCTGGCACCAAGAAAACAATGAAACCATCCATGCTTCTCAGGGTTAAACTATTGTAGCATATGATGATTCGCTTTGCTTCTATATATGGTGGTACCACCATAGTTTGTATAGGTACCACCACAGTTTGTACTCCTTTGTAGTAGAGATCTGCTTCAATGCTTACCCCATCAAAGTGCAGCAGGCATCCTAAGAAACGGACTTTGTTAGGGACAGGATGACTAGAACCATCGGTCTATCTAGCATCAGCAATACGATCACGGATGACACAGAGGTTCCATTCAGTTTGGTCTGGTCCCAAGACAGCTAGTTCAGCCACTGCTCCTGATGTCTCATATTCCTAGGTTTTCTCATATGTTTTACACTCTTCTCTAACACTCCCTTTACCTATTTAATGAAATAAGTTAGTTGATGCTGCCAACACATTAAAATATAGAAGGCAAGCTAGTCTATTGAACACGAAGTGGTACATATCAGAAGTTATCCTTATTCACCTAAGTGAAGGTTTCTGTGGCATATATAAGAAAACATTATGCACACAAGTAGAGGTTAAGAGGTTGGTGGTCTAGTACTCTGGACTTATAAATTATTCTCCACATGCAATTTTTTGCAGCATACAATTCATGAACTGGATTAGCCACTGTTGAAATTTTTTGCAGCGTACTCAGTAGGGTTTTATCACTTATGCCACTAGTTTCATCCCACTACTTAGTTTGGCCATCAAAAGTTACAACTGCTAAAAAATGTCATCATTCCGTGAGATGCTTGCTCAAAAATACCATTTGATACCTTAAAAATGCCATCGTTGCATTAGATATTTCCTCAAAAATGCCATTAGACACCGTTATTTTCAGGTCAAACCCGTTGACCAGGCTATATGACCAAAATACCCCTAGACCCACATGCCAGCTTTCTCTATCTCATAATGACAAGTGTGAGCCCCACTTGTCAGGAGTAAGCAAACGGATAATTGTAGAGGAAAATAAGAACATTGTTGGGATTAAGTGAGACCCACACTTTATCGTAGTGAGATAGAGGGAGAGCTGACATGTTGGTCCATGGGTATTTGATCATTATAACATGGTAAACAGACTTTGAGCTAACACTTTATCCTAGTGACAAAACTGAGCAGTGGGACACAACTAGTGGCATAAATGATAGAAACTCATTTTGTTAATGAAATCCATCTGTACAGGTATATTTGATCCACTTGCATGAATTAATATGCCAATAAGATAAAAGTTTCTCATCGACATCTGAACGAAACTCGTTAAATTTTAAATAGATCTGTGAAAATTAAATAGTGTAAACACAAGATTAAAATTTGAAGTACCAACGTTTTACAAAGGCATGCACACGACATAGCTACCCCCTCCGTTCGGAAATACTTATCGGATCCAATGTATCCGATAAGTATTTCCAGATTGAGGGAGTATATGTTTTGGCCCGCCAATAAGCTGAAAGTTTTTTTCTCAGAAAGGTGTGTTTAACCTCTGCATACACAGCCACATATTATTGTGTTCAGAATATCAAAGATCCAAAGTATCTTACATAAATCAAAAGGAAGAAGAGCTCAAAGCTTGAAACGGTGAGGAGCTCAACGTGGCTTCTGCTATGTGGAAAACATTGGTCAAAATTTAGTTGATTCTAGGCAACATTTTATTTGTGAACACAAGGTTCAAATTCTAAACAATGGAATTCCATATTATGAATAACTTATATTGGAGAGATGTGATATTTTAGAAATCAAATTCAATTCTAACAGATACGTCGGTAGATAAAGATTATGGGGCGCTAATAATATAGCTTAACCAGAACTACTAAAATAAAGATATGTACAACACAACTAAAATTTACAATAACCAAATACCTGCATATTTCAGTCATAGTAGAATTGCATGTCAAATTTAAAACATAGCTCGAAAATTCTTAGACAAGCACTTATTGAGAGCAATGACATCGAGCTTCTCATTTTCTCACCTCGTCACCCTCCTCTTCACATTGCTCCCTTTCTGTTCATAGTCCTCACCATCAACCTATGCCACATTGTTCAGTGCCTCCCTCTCCCTCCTCCTTTCCCTGCCCTCTAGTCATCTTCTCCCGTCAAACAGCGGCCGATGCATAAGGGATGGTGGGCAAAACCTCGAAGGCAACAAGGAGCTTCCACCGCTCGGGTCCCATGATCTGAGAAAGAAAAAGCAAGGCAAAATGGGTGGCCTATGGCAGATCAATGCTCATGTAGATAGAGCACATATTTTGTATTTCAAATATGATGATGCACAATTTTGTCCTATGTCAAAATTCTCTACATTTCAGGAAGTCCATAGATAAACGTGTTAATATCTACAGCATCAATTATACCCCCTCCGTCTCAAAATGAGTGTCTCAACTTTAAGGCTCGAGATATTGACATTTTTTTCTATAGGCTTTTGCTCAAATTCAAACAAGTCTGACTTGAGACAAAACTAGAAATTCGAATAATTTTGTACAGAGTAGCAACGATCAGATGGAGCACCCCTCATCAAATGGGTAGATTGCATGCCACACCATGATGCTTAGAAGTGTCAGATTGCACATCACTCACACCATGATTGCACGATCAGATGGTGGCAACCGGTGGCGGTGCAGCATTTGATCGAACAGCTCGTAGGCGCCATGGAATGCGTCATGGATGCTGGAGACATCAAGAAGCTTGTGGGCGGCACAATGGGCAAATCGATGTCCTGCACAGCTGAAGCTCCTGCGCCTATGTGAGTGATGTCTTTTCAGAGTTGTCGCTGACACCGATCGGATCACCTGCCGGGATGTGCAGGGAGCGGCAGTGAGGTAGGGCAAATCACCAGTCAAGCCATAGAGCACGAAGGTCGCTGACAGATGGACTGTCGGTGTCTTTTCAGAGTTGTCACTGCTGGCTACTTGGGCGTAGTCCAGAACACCATCCGACAACTAAGAGCAATACCTATCAGATGGCTAGTGGCAGCACTGGATTGGCCTCTCAAATGATTTTACCACGTGAGTGAATCGTGCTGAAGTGAAGGTACCCAAAGAACCGGCCAGATGAACCGTAATAAAAGGCCAATCAATAGAAAGGAAGCTTCTACATCTCCCACTGATCAAGATCAACCTGGTCACTCTGGTCCTAAGTCACCCAGAACGTGCAAATGTTTCTGATGTCTCCTATTTCCATCTATTCTTGCATCTCTCATTCTTCTCTCACGCTCTCCTTGATCCATTTATTTTACCACCACCTATTTGATGCAGTAGGTTAGTGCTACCAAGGCCCTCCCTTTGTACTGTTTATAAGACTATCACCTATTTGATGCGGTAAGTTAGTTCTACCAACACAACCCCACTGATCTATTTATGTGCCTACCACCATTTTGATGCAGTAAGTTAGTTCAACCAACACACTGAAATGGCATGGGACAGCGGAGCGATTCTGTTGTAGACGTATTGGTATATATCATGACAGAACCTTTTTCCCTTTAGTGAAGGTTGGTGTGGTATATATGTAAGAAAAGCATTGTGCACACATTTAGAGGTTGGTGGTGTAGTACTCTTCACTTTATAACTATTTTGCATATATATGTGGTGCACAGGTTTTTCACAACATACCGCATACCAGCTAGCCGCTAAACAAATGATTGAAAGAACGGCACATGGATCTGAAAAAAGTAGCTACCAGTACCACAAAACAACCTTTGTTGATGTTTATTTATTTCCCTAGATTGCTAATAAAGTGTGCCATTGAGGAGATAGAGGAACAGAAGGGCATCAGTGAGTTTTTAAAGAATTAAGGCAGTGTTTAAAGAAATAAATTTGGATACAAGGATTAATGAAAACTGAAGAATTCCTAGAATGAAAACTAACTCAAGAATTGAACATGCATATTCAATCTCGGCTGCCAGAAAATGCTAGAAGATAAGTACAAGAGTCGTGGAATTTTGCAGAGGGGAACAAAGGCTGATGAAATATTAAAGAGAAATGGAAGACTGACTGGAAAATAAATGATTGTAGCTCGCAAACTGAAGAATTAACAAACTTACTCAAACTGAAGAAAAAAATTGATTGTAGCTCACAAACTGAAGAATGAACAAACTTAATGGAGAACTATATCGGACTGACTGAATGAAAGACCAAAGACATAAACCTTATCTCTGAATGATAACCCCTGACTTAATGCGTACGAGAGACACACAGCAGACTGAGCATGGGAGGGGGGTGGGAAGGGGAGTGCGCACCGTTACCTGTCTTCCTGGCATGGACCGCTGCTGCCGCCCCCATGGCCTGCCCTGCTTGACATGCCTACTCCCTCCACCCCAGGACTCGGGCAAGAACGAACTGACACGCGGCTGAGTCGATACAAAGTAAAATTCAAAAAGAAAAAGGTCACCAATCGGCCTCACACTCCAAACCAGGTCAGATTTGCCAAAAAAGAAACATGAAAACGAACCACCCTGAAAATCGCGAAATCAGATCCATGATACAGTTAGTTGTTTTTTAGCAAAAATGAATATACTTTCTAAATTGACCGGCATATACGGAAATCAGATCAACTGGGCAAATGGATGCAAGTTTCTTTTTTGCAGGAAAAAAACGGATGCAAGTTTCAGGAGCCAACCATACCAGACAGACCAATTGGGCTAAGGACAGCAAAATCTTTCTTTCTCCTAGTAGAAAAAACCCTTTCTCTCAAAAAAAAAAGAAGAAAAGGCACTGAACCTTCTCTCGCACATTCTTTCCCCTAGCTTCATCATGATCCATGATACCAGCAGATGAAATAAGAATGATCATGCAAAATCAGGCCCTCAGGAAACACTACTGAAAGTTTGACAACACATCCCTCTTTGGAGTGTGTGTGTCTGGGATGTCTTATGTATGCCGCTCAGCGGTTCCGATGGTTTTCGCCTGGTTTTACATAATTAACTGAGCAATCTGGTTTTCCCTAATTAACCGAGCAACTCTTTTCTTCTTAATGAATGCAGGAATCCTGCCATTTGAAAAAAGTAGGTTACTGGCTTGTTTTCTACAGACTAACCTGGGTGAGGGGAGCAGCCTTGCAGTCTAGGACTCGATCTCCAAAGTCCAAGCGTGGACTGATGAGACCACACTTGTACAATCTTCCATTCAGCTTCACAACTGTCATACCAGACCTGTGATCATCGACATACTCAGATTCACCAATTAATGTATCCTGCACTCAGAAAAAGCATCATCAGTTTCTATGGACACAGGTGCAGCATAGTTTTACAACTTTCTATCAAGTAGGGTTGTGCATGAAGAACCATAAAGCATGACAACGAGCAACTCAATGACAACCTTCCATGATGGCTTGCTCATCGCTTCTCTCTTACCACGCTTCTCTGTACTGTAGATGCTCTTAAGAGCATCTCACGAGTTTGCTGCAAAGTGTGCTAGACGACATAGGACTACAAGAACATCTTGAAATACCGAACATCACAAAAAGGGCCTATCAATCCAGAGAATCAATGGATCAACACTAGGCACATGCATAAATAATGTAGATATGTTTTTTTCCTATAAACTTGGTCAAACTTAAACAGGTTTGACTTAGAGACAAGATTAAGTGAGTAGTTCTTTCACAACATATTATCGGAAACATTTGCTTCACAAACAAGAAAAAAGAAAACAGATTGCTCGACGCTGCTGATAGCCTGACACCAAGAAAAAATTATGAAATTATCCATGCTTCTCAGGATTAAACTGTTGAAGCGTATGCATGATTCGTTTATGGCTTTGCTTCTATATATGGAGGGACCACCACAGTTTGTACAGGTAATGGATCTACTGTACATCAAACAAACTGTGCAGCTTGAGCTAACGAAGGAAACTTCAACAACAGATGCCTATATTATCTGCTTGAACTTCTTCCATTTCAGAAGGATGAGCGAAAAAATATCCCCAATTATAGAATTGTCTTATCCAGGCTTCCAGCATAGTTCCTGGTAACAATAAAACAAACAGAATACGTTCAATCAGATCATGCTATATATCACAAGGCGGCAACCCATAATACAAAAACAAAAAATGAATTATGAACAGGCACTGTGAGTAGTTTGCAAAACAAGAGACCTTGCCCAGTTGCTCCATAACTAATGGATGACCACATCATCCGAAACTAGGAAAAGTGGCGTCTGTACAGATGATCACACCATCAGATATTAGGTTGGTCTTGGTGTACAGACCACGATTACAGACACCATGTTCCTGTTACAGAGCATGTTCAGTTTTCTGTCCATTGCAGTTAACATACTAGCTTCACACAGATGTTAAAGTTCAACTAAAGCATAAAAATGGCAGATAAGTTGTACCATGCAGATGACTGCAACTAAAAAACCCTGGTTATGGTCGGCGGGCTTAGATTTTGAGGAGCTGGAGCTACATATACTATGTCATGGCCAGATTCATCAACCGCACAGCATGAAAAAAGTGGAACAAGGCATGCGTCCTGCATGCTTCAGATTCATCAACCACTCCAACCATCACTAATTCATCCATTTCGCTGATATGCTCAAAACCTCAGGCCTCGCCCTATCACCGTTAAAAAGTGTAAATGCCCATGTTACTCGACTAAAATAAACTGTATCCCAAATTTTATCCAGTCTTGGATTTCTTCCCAAATTTGACAATGCAAAATTATATATAGTTTTCTGTTTACATGTTAAGAACTGAAACTGCAAACAGTACGCGTTAAGCTAGATCTTCCTTATTTCATTCATTCCGGTTACAATTAAAGGCGGGAAAAAAGAATCATTGAAATGAAGCACATAATTAGTCTATTTTGGAGTAGCCAGACAACTCCTTATACTATGCAAAAGAGAAACTTTCATGGAAGAAACAACACCAACAGCCGACAGTATACAAAAGCAGTTGCCCAGGGCAGTATAATCCACTGAGTTATAACAACTGATACAGCATTGTCAGGTCAAAACCTATTTACTAAAACATGACAGGAGGTACAGGACCTACAGTTAGGTTGTGATTTAAAAAAAAGGTTAGATTGTGCACCTGAAAGAAATTGCATATTCTGGTAGCCCCAGATTGTCCATGCAGCAACTGCTCAGGGCACTCCTGGGTGTGATGTGAGTCAGACTACTCGGGTAACGGATAACATTGGAAACGGTGACCCTAAACATCAGGTGTTCAGCAGTATAGTATCTCGCTTGCTGGTCAACAGAGAAGTTCCTAAGAAAAGAGCTTTATATGTGCGCCAGTTCGGTTGCACCCCTTTCTTAATCATATCATTGTATATTCCCAAACCCTTCTCAAGTTCACCATTAACATTGCACCACCTTATCAAAATATTGTATGCTACAATGTCAGGCTTCAATCCCTTGTACAGCATTTCATTCCAAAGCTCAAACGCTTTATTTGTATCACCCTTCTTGCAGAGCTCATGTATTACTGTAGAATAGCTAATGCAATCAGGAAAAAGACCTTTTTCAGTACACTTACTAATAAGGTCAATTGCTTCTTGAATCTGCCCAACCTTACATAACCCCTTGATCAATGTGTTAACTGTCACTATGTTAGCAAGAGAGCCTCGAAGCATGGCGAAATAAAGATCTTTAGCTTTCTCCAGTTTACCTTCAGTTGTAAAACAATCAAGAAAACAATTATAAGTATAATTGTTAGGAAGGAACTGACTGGATAACATTTCTTTACAGAGGACCTCTGCGCTGCTCAAATGCCCTGACTTGCAGAGGTTATTTACTAAAACTGTATATGTGACGGTATTTGGAAAGCAGCCATCAGCAATCATGTTATCCCAACAGTTTAAAGCTTGGACCATATTTCCTTCTTTTGAGTGCATGTCAATCATGCATGTATGGAACACAGTGTCTAGCCTGACACATTTTTCTGTCATCTCCTTCAATAACACGCATGATTTTTCTGTATCATTCTGCTTCAAGGCTGTATACAGAATAATGGTAAAGCTGACAAGATCAAGATTGACTCCCTGCATTGCCATCTCATTCCAGACATGGTATGCTTCAGTCAACCTTCCTTCTCTGCACAATCCATGCATAAGTGCGGTTAGGCTAAATTTGTTCAGTGGGCAGTTGTTTTCTAGGTCAGCAACAAATTCCTTTGCTTTTGACGCTCCACTGGTCAAGCATAATCCACTTATCAATGGTCTATACGTGTAATTGTCAGGTGTGAGGCCCCTATCCACCATTTGATCATATAACTGGAATGCCTTTCTTATATTGCCTACCAGGCAATACCCTTCTATCATGACATTATAAGTTGCTTCATTTGGTACTAGGTTGCTGTCAATCATCTTATTAAACAACCGAGAAGCTTCATCCATCTTTTTGTCCTTGCAAAAACCATTGATAAGTGCTGTGAACGTATAAGTGTTCCATGCAACACCCTTCTCAGCCATCTCCCGGTGGAGTTCCATGGCACTGGACAGATCCCCTTTTCTACAGAAACCAGCAATGAGTGGAGAATATGAAGCTGCATTCGGTGTCACTCCAATCTCAGTCATCTCACTCAGGAAACCCATCGCCATGTCTAAATCATCCTGTTTGCAGAAACCATTAATCAAGGAATTGTACGGATAGACTGTCACTCTGACACCCTTCTCCCTCATCCTATCGAACATGTCAAGTGCATCCTCCATCATCCCCCTTTTCGAAAGTGAATGTATCAATATAGGATAAGTCACCTCATTTGGCTCCAGACCCCTGTCTGCCATCTCACTGAAAAGCCGATCTGCCTCACAAAACATACCGCTCTTGCACAGGTTATCAAGCAATGCATTATATGCAAATATGTTCGGCACCATGCCCGACTCACCTAACTGACAAGCTAACCTGAAAGCCTCCCGAACATCCCCCCTCTTTCGTAGCCCATCAAGCATAAATGAGCAATTGGCCTCTGATGGCACATACCCCAGCCTGGCCATGTCATATGTCATTCTCAATGCCATTTCCAGCTCCTCCGCCCGACAAAACCCATACACGAGCGTACGGTAAGTCACTTCGTCAGCTTTGATTCCTCTGGCCACCATGCTGTTCTTTACCTCCACTGCCTCCTGAATGCGATGATTCCTGCACAATCCGTAGATCAATACATTGTACGGCACCACACTGACCTTGACCCCCTCATGATGCATCCTTGCCAGAAGCCCCTTGGCACCGTCAAGGTTTCTGGCCTCGCAGTAAGCCCGAATCCCAGCCGTGTAAACATGCTCATCCAGGCGAGCACCAGAGTGAAGCATTTCATCGAACAGGGCACGGGCAAGGGTGAACTGACGAATCTTGACAAGAGAAAACAGTATGTGGGAAGCCGTGTACTGGTTGGGAGCGATGCCGGCGGCCAGGGACAGGTGAAGGACGGTGGCCGCGTCGCGGGCGCGGCGGAGGCGGAGGTAGGAGGAGGCGAGAAGCGAGGCGGCGGCGGCGGTGGCGCCAGGCGGGAAGGGGGAGAGGGAGGAGGCGTGGGAGAGGGAGGAGAAGGAGGTGGAGGCGGACGGGGAGGAGGACGCGAGGGAGAGCAGGAGGGAGGCGGCGTGCGGGGAGCGGGGCGGCGAGGCAGGGGCGGAGATGAAGGAGAGCGCGAGGAGGGAGAGGCAGAGCGGGGAGACGAGGTGGGGAGGGAGCAGGAGGAGGAAGCGGCGGGAGAGGTCCGGCCGGGAAAGAGAGGCCGGCAAGAGGAGGAGCGAGGAGACGTGCGCCGGGGCGAGGCAGCTGCGGAGCAGCGGCGCCGCGAGCGCCGGCGGCCAGGCGGAGGGCGCGGTGTGGTGGAGGAGGTCGGCGAGGAGCCTGACCATGCCGGAATGTGAGGCGGCGGGCGTGGGGTTGGGGTTGGGATCTCCGGCCCGGTGCCGGGGTGGTGGTGGAGGCATCGGGCCGGCGGTGAGGATCGCCGGAGTGGGTGACGGTCGGGTGGTCAGCTGGACGAGTGGGGGGCGACTGCAGTGTGAAGTTTTGCGGAATGTGTTTCTCAATTCATTCAGAGAGCATACAGTGTTACATATAGGTTCA